GTGCGGCGCGGCCGGAGCGGCCGGAGCGGTCACTCTGGTCAGGCCGCTGCCCGCGCCGGCCGGCGTGCTGCACGCCGTGCTGCGCTACTTCCGCTGGGCGCACGTGGCCGTGGTGGCCGCGCCGCAGGACCTGTGGGTGGACACCGGGCACGAGGTGGCCAGGGAGCTGAGGGCCAGGGGGCTGCCGGTCAGCGTGGTCACCGTGGCCGGAGAGGAGGAGGAGGAGGCCGAGCAGGCGCTGAGGAGGGTCCAGAGGGCGGACGGGGTCAGAGGTGAGGGACGGGGAGGGGCTGGAGGGGGTGGAGGTGGGGAGATGGGGATGGGGAGGTGGAGGGGGGGAGAGGAGGAGGAGGAGGCCGAGCAGGCGCTGAGGAGGGTCCAGAGGGCGGACGGGGTCAGAGGTGAGGGACGGGGAGGGGCTGGAGGGGGTGGGAGATGGGGAGATGAAGGTGTAGATGGAGATGGGATGGAGATAGAGATGGAGATGGGATGGAGATAGAGATGGAGATGGGATGGAGGTGGGATGGAGATGGAGGTGGAAATGGGGAGATGGAGGATGGAGGTGGAGATGGGGAGATGAAGGTGTAGATGGAGATGGGATGGAGATAGAGATGGAGATGGGATGGAGATAGAGATGGAGATGGGATGGAGGTGGGATGGAGATGGAGGTGGAAATGGGGAGATGGAGGATGGAGGTGGAGATGGGGAGATGAAGGTGTAGATGGAGATGGGATGGAGATAGAGATGGAGATGGGATGGAGATAGAGATGGAGATGGGATGGAGGTGGGATGGAGATGGAGGTGGAAATGGGGAGATGGAGGATGGAGGTGGAGATGGGGAGATGAAGGTGTAGATGGAGATGGGATGGAGATAGAGATGGAGATGGGATGGAGATAGAGATGGAGATGGGATGGAGGTGGGATGGAGATGGAGGTGGAAATGGGGAGATGGAGGATGGAGGTGGAGATGGGGAGATGAAGGTGTAGATGGAGATGGGATGGAGATAGAGATGGAGATGGGATGGAGATAGAGATGGAGATGGGATGGAGGTGGGATGGAGATGGAGGTGGAAATGGGGAGATGGAGGATGGAGGTGGAGATGGGGAGATGAAGGTGTAGATGGAGATGGGATGGAGATAGAGATGGAGATGGGATGGAGATAGAGATGGAGATGGGATGGAGGTGGGATGGAGATGGAGGTGGAAATGGGGAGATGGAGGATGGAGGTGGAGATGGGGAGATGAAGGTGTAGATGGAGATGGGATGGAGATAGAGATGGAGATGGGATGGAGGTGGGATGGAGATGGAGGTGGAAATGGGGAGATGGAGGATGGAGGTGGAGATGGAGGTGGAGGTGGAGGTGGAGGTGGAGATGGAGGATGGAGGTGGAGATGGGGAGATGAAGGTGTAGACGGAGATGGGATGGAGATGGGATGGAGATGGAGGTAGAAGTGCAGATGGAGAGGTGGAGGTGGGATGGAGATGGAAAAATGGAGGTGGAGAAGGAGGTGGGGATGGAGAGATGGAGATGGAGATGGGAGTGGAGGTGATGGTGGAGATGGAGATGGAGATGGGGATGGGAGTGGGGATGGAGATGAACATGGAGAGAGGGATGGAGATGGATGATGGATGGATGGATGGACGGATGGATGGACGGATGGATGGACGGATGTGGAAAAGAAAGAGGAAGGATGGATGAAGATGGTGGACATGGACAGATGGATGGATGGATGGATGGATGACAAAAGGATGGAGGGATGGACGGATGGACAGATGAAGGACGGATGAAGATGGTTGACATGGATGGATGGATGCACGGAGGGACAGATGGACACATGAAGGCTGGATGATGATGGTGGACATGAATGGATGGAAGGATGGACGGATGGACAGATGAAGGACGGATGAAGATGGTGGACATGGGATGGATGGATGGATGCATGGAAGGACAGATGGACACATGAAGGATGGATGATGATGGTGGATGTGGATGGATGGATGGATGGATGGATGGACGGATGGATGGACAGATGAAGGACGGCTGAAGTCCAGGGTCGGTGCCCCCACCCACCACGCCCACACCCGTGTCCCCGCGTGTCCCCGGCAGTGGTGCTGATGTGCATGCACTCCGTGCTGCTGGGCGGCCGCGAGCAGAAGGTTCTCCTGGAGAAGGCCGAGGACCTGGGCATGACGGACGGCACCTTCGTCTTCGTGCCGTACGACGCGCTGACCTTCGCGCTGCCCTACCGCCGCGTGCCCTACCCCGTGCTGGCCAACAACACCAAGCTGCGCCTGGCCTACGACGCCGTGCTGACCATCACCATCGACTCGCCCGACGCCTCCTTCCACGAGGCCCTGGAGGAGGCCAAGGCCGCCTACGAGGTCCCCGCCAACCTCGACCCCGCCGAGGTGGGGCTGGGCGCAGTCTGGAGGGGGTTTGGGGGGTGTCTTGAGAAGGTTTGAGGGCATCTCCAGGGGTTTGAGAGCATCTCGAGAGGTTTGGGGGTGTCTCAAGGGGGTTTGAGGGCACCTTGAGAGGTTTGAGAGCATCTTGAGAGGTTTGGGGGTCTCTCCAGGGGGTTTGAGGGCATCTCCAGGGGTTTGAGGGCATCTCAAAAGGTTTGAGGGCATCTCGAGAGGTTTGGGGGTCTCTCCAGGGGGTTTGAGGGCATCTTGGGAGGTTTGGGGGTGTCTTGAGAGGGTTTGAGGGCATCTCAAAAGGTTTGAGGGCATCTCAAGAGGTTTGGGGGTCTCTCCAGGGGGTTTGAGGGCATCTCCAGGGTGTTGAGGGTATCTCAAAAGGTTTGGGGATGTCTTGAGAGGGTTTGAGGACATCTCCAGGGGGTTTGAGGGCATCTTGAGAGGTTTGGGGACATCTCAAGAGGTTTGGGGGTGTCTCGAGGGGGTTTGAGGGCATCTCAAGAGGTTTGGGGGTGTCTTGAGAGGGTTTGAGGGCATCTCCAGGGGGTTTGAGAGCATCTTGAGAGGTTTGGGGGTATCTTGAGAGGCTTGAGGGCATCTCAAAAAGTTTAAGGGCATCTCAAGAGGGTTGAGGGCATCTCGAGGGGGTTTTGGGGAACCTTCAGGGGCTTTGGGGCATCTCCAGGGGCATCTCTGGAGGATTGGGTGGCCATGGCCACCAACGAGGGATGGAGGTGACCATGGCCAAGGGGAGATGAGCACGGCCAGCGGGACATGGCCATTACCATCTTGGTTGGCCATGGCCAATGGCAGATGACCACAACCAACACAAAATTACCGCGGCCAATGGAAGCTGACTGTGGCCATCTTCATTGACCATGGCCAATGGGAGATGACCATGGCCAATGGGAGATGGCCACAACCATCTTTGTTGACCGTGGCCAATGGGAGATGATCATGACCATTGCAAGATGACCACGGCCAACACAAAATGACCATGGCCAATGGGAGATGGCCATGACCATCTTGGTTGACCACGGCCAATGAAAGATAACCATGGCCAACGCAAGATGACCATGGCCAATGAAAGCTGACCGTGGCCACCTCCATTGACCATGGCCAATGGGAGATGACCGTGGCCAGTGGGAGATGACCGTGGCCAATGGAAGCTGACTGTGACCATCTTCATTGATCATGGCCAATGGGAGATGACCATGGTCAGTGAGAGATGACCATGGCCAACGCAAGATGACCATGGCCAATGAGAGATGACCATGGCCACCTCCATTGACCATGGCCAATGGGAGATGACCATGGCCAATGGAAGATGACCGTGGCCATCTTCATTGACCATGGCCAATGGGAGACGACCATGGCCAATGGGAGATGACCGTGGCCAATGGGAGATGACCATGCCCATCTTGGTTAACAATGGCCAATGAGAGATGACTATGGCCAATGGGAGATGACCATGGCCAATGAAAGCTGACCGTGGCCACTTCCATTGACCATGGCCAATGGGAGACGACCATGGCCAATGGGAGATGACCATGGCCAATGGGAGATGACCATGGCCAATGGGAGATGACCATGGCCAATGAAAGCTGACCGTGGCCACCTCCATTGACCATGGCCAATGGAAGATGACCATGGCCAATGGGAGATGACCATGGCCAACACAAGCTGACCGTGGCCACCTCCACTGACCATGGCCAACACCAAACAACCGCATCCAACCCAACCCAACCCAACCCAACCCAGCCCAAGCCAAGCACCCCGAGCTGCCCGCCCTGGTGTCACCCTCACGTCCCCCCTGTCCCCCGCCAGGTCCACCCGCTCTTCTCCACCATCTACAACTCCATCTACTTCCTGGCCACGGCGGTGGAGGCGGCGCGCCGCAGCGGCCGCTGGGTGATGGGCACCAGCGTGGCCGACCACGCCCGCGACTTCCAGCTCCAGGGCTTCTGCCAGACCTTCACCGTGGACCGGGACGGCGACGTCTCGGTGCCCTACGTGGTGCTGGACACGGACGGCAAGGGCCACCACCTGTGGGCGGTCTACGGGCTGGAGCCGGGCACGCGCGGCCTCAGCTACCGCAGCCACAGCCCCCACTGGCCCCACAGCGCCAGCCCGGCCACCGACGCCGGCTGCTGGTTCGACTCCGGCGCCATCTGCAACGGCGGTGAGCGGGGCCACCGGGGTCACCGGGAGGGTGGTGGTGGTGGGTCTGGGTCTGCTGGGGTGCCACCATGGAGCTGGTGCCACCATGGTTCTGGATAACTGGGGTCATGGTGCCACCATGGTTCTGGGTCAGCCATGGTTCCCTCATGGTCGTGGTGCCACCACGGAGCCGGAATGGACATGGTGGTGGTGCCACCATGGTTCTGGATGATTGGGGTCATGGTGCCACCATGGTTCCGGGTCAGCTGTGGTGTCACCATGGTCGTGGTGCCACCATGGAGCTGGAATGGACATGGCGGTGGTGCCACCATGGTTCTGGGTCTGCTGTGGTGTCACCATGGTCGTGGTGCCACCACGGAGCCGGAATGGACATGGTGGTGGTGCCACCATGGTTCTGGATGATTGGGGTCATGGTGCCACCGTGGTGCTGGGTCAGCTGTGGTGCCACCATGGTTCTGGGTCAGCCATGGTTCCCTCATGGTCGTGGTGCCACCATGGAGCTGGAATGGACATGGCGGTGGTGGTAGGGGCGGTGCCACCATGGTTCTGGAATGGCCATGGTGGTGGTGCCACCATGGTTCTAGGTCAGCTGGGGTCACGGTGCCACCATGGTTCTGAGTCATGTGTGCTCACGGTGCCACCACGTCCATGTGTCCATCTGCCCACGTGTCCATCTGTCCGTCCATCCTCTCCCGGCTCCACCGTGTCCACCCACAGGTGACCTCCAGTGTCACAGGCGCCGGGTGACATCGGTTCCCCGGGCGACCACATCGCTCTGGTCATCCCTGGTCACTCCTGTGGCCACACCTGGTCATACATGGTCATTCCTGTGGCCACTGCTGGTCATCCCTGATCCCTCCCGGTCACTCCTGGTCACCCCTGGTCATCCCTGGTCACTCCTGGTCATCCCTGGTCACTCCTGGTCACTCCTGGTCATCCCTGGTCACT